TAAAATTAGCTGTCGTTGAAATAATTGTCGTTGAAATAAACTTGTCGGTGAATTGATTGTCGGTGAAATGAATTGTCAGTAAAATGATTGTCGGTGAAATGATACGTATCCATCGCCAGCCTATGTGAATCACGTGATCACCGACCATAGCTATATAGTAAATTTCGAATTTATTGATTAAATATATAATAAACTTAATAAATGCTAAATTCAACCTTCACTATTTCTAACCCTAAAAAAATTATTATCTCAAACCCACCTAGTAATAACTATAACCGGCTTTAAAATATCTAATCTGCTTAATATATAGCTCAATTCTAAAAAATCCAAAATCTATAACGTGCTTGAACTATTTATATATACTTAAACTCCAAAATAATTAATTACTGCTAACCCGCCTAATACTAACTCTAATACAATCTAAAATAGCCATATTTCTAATATTGCTAACACAAACCCTAACTCTAAATTCGCAATCAGTATAATGTTAATCGCAAGCTAAATCTAAATAATCCAAAACAATCCGATATTAATAATACGAACCCTTAATAACCCTAAATTAACTTTAAATCTATGCATACCTGGATTCAACTTATTTGTGTGATAAAAAATACAACTTCGTATTTCAAATCTCAATTGTTCATATAAGTGTTATATAATAAACAACACCTAACTTTTTTGAATTATTATCTACTTACGAAGATATAATGATGCTTAATTTCAAACTAAAAATGCGAGTATAATACCATAACTTATAGTTACGATGAGTAATAGTATGCCTGTATCTCTGTTTCAAACCACTCAGTAAATAAATAACAAGTTAGTATTAAAATATACGAAAAAAAAGATTTGAGAGCATAAAAACAAATATGATCAATTGTTTAAGTGCTTATACAAATGTAAAACTTAAGCATATAATTTTCTTAATAATAACCTAATTACTTCTTTTAGTATTACTTTTTTTTGTTTTTCATTATCATCAGACTTTGATTAAGCTAATAATATGTAAAAAGTAAAAAATAACATAAAAACTAGTATGATCAATTGTGTTAAGCGCTTATACAAATATAATTCTTAAGTATTACAATTCTTTTGGTAATGCCCTAAATTGCTATACTTTTTGCATTGCCTTTGTTGCTTATCATTATTATGATTTTCATATGATGCTTTAAGATGCTTTGTGCCAAATGGTCTCCCTTTATTACATCTTTTTTTAGAATTTTGTAAACTATTACTAGAATTTTTTTTATCACTCAAGGAATTATCTTAATCAGTTCTTTAGAAATTTCATCATTTTCCTTAGCATATTCTTGTAAAATCTTAATGAGATGTTGCGACTTTGATTTTGCTTTTAATGCCTTTTGTAAAGTCAGTTTATATGCTTCATGAAGGTGCCTATACATCATTCTTTGTTTTAGAATATTCATTTATTGACCAACAAGATTATTTGTATTATAAATAGCATATAAACAATTGTGCAGCTTATTTTCTTGTAATAAGTTAGTTGAATCTTCATGAAATTTATCAGCAACAATAAATGGCACATTTGATGCATCTTTATCTTCTTGATATTAGTGAGATGAAATAAGCCTTATATAAAACCTAGCTTTACTTGTATTCAACATAATCTGAAAATAATGTCAACAAACAATTCCCTGCCAAATAAACATAAGACACAAACACAAATGAGCAACATTTTTAAAAGAATTATGTAACATTTAAGAATTGATAAATTTCTGATTTTAACACTTCATATTTATTAACATTTTCAAATCTAACAACATCCAATAATTGATGTATAGTAGCCTGTGGATCATCAATATTCTTATTTTTATCATTTGAAAAAGTAGCATCATGATCATCCAAATATAATGTATCTTGCATATTAACAAAATATACAATATAATAATAGATCACTTAATTAATTTGATTAACCAATTAGCTTGATTAATCTAATTAGATTGGTTAATCAGTTGATCTTGTTAATTTAGTTAATCTACTAATTAAGTTGTTCTAAGTTAACTAATTTAAGAGTAGGGGGTATGTAGATCATTTTGTCATATGATTTTGTAGTACAACATGATTTTTATAAGAAAATAGATATATGCTACTAATAAAACTTTTTACT